GAACTTAATCACTTGGTCATACCCAGCTACAAAGGAGGCTGGGAAATGTGGTCTCTCATCCAGGCAGCCATGTACTCAGCTAAAAGCAGAAGCCTATTCCTAAATAGAGGAGAACTGATATTGGAAGATTACTGTCAGTTTCTGCCACAGTGGGAAACAGAGGTCAAGGATGATCTCGCTGAGTCAGACTGGGCTGGCTGTGGGATCCTTGTGTCACTTACCAACAATGGAAGAAAACACAACAGCTATAATTAATTGAGCATTTCCTGTATTTCAGGCACTGTATAATGGGCTTTATCCCCATTTTAGAGGGGAGGAAAACAGCCTTGGTGAAGTAAAATATCTTGCCCAGCTAATTAGGGGCAGAAAGAGGATTAGAGCAAAAGTTGACTCGTTCACAAAGCACCTGGTTTCTTAACTGCTGCCCTAGTCTACCACCCAAATGAGCATCAAGCCTTCTGAGAACCAGAACTGCTGAAATGGGAGGGAAAATGGAGGGTGTGAAGCCAGTGGAAGCATCTCTTAAAACTCTCCAATTCCTCTTGCCTTCCCATCCTGGCTATCAGCAGAGATCCCTGCCTATCTGTCTCTTTTATCTAAAACCAACGTCTGCAGGTTTTACTTAGGTAAATAATTACCACTGAGAAAGCAGAAGTGTTTCTAATTTGTAATCAGACCGAGGCTGCCTCTTCTTGCATATCTCTCATGATGGGGAGCTCACGCTCTCTCAAGGCAATTCATTGCACTGTTAGAAAGCATCTGTTTTTACAAAGTCCTTCCTTAGCTTGAGCTGAAAGCCATATTCTTTGGCAGATCAGGGTCCATATTCTTCAGTTAGATCAGTAGTTCTCAACTAAGGATCATTTTGACTCCCAGTGGATATCTGGCAATGTCTAGAGATATTTTGGGTTCATGACTGGAAATGAGGAAGAGGTGCTACTGGCATCTAGTGAGTAGAGGTCAGGATGCTGCCAAACATGCAACCAATGCAAGCAACAGCTCTTCACAACAAAGAATTACCCAGCTCAAAATGTGAATGGAGTGAAGGTTGAGAAACTCTGAGTTAGAACTAGGTTTCAAGTCTTGGCTTCACCAGCTACTTCCTAGAGGTGTGTGTGACCTTGAATAAATTGCTTGCCCTCTCTGAGCCTGAGTTGACCATTTCCTCCTCTGTACCTTGGGAATCATCAGAAGACCTCCCTATGGGCTTGTGGTGGGCATTTAATAACCAATACATAAAAAGCCCAGAGCTTGGCTCCTTACTGTCAAAGCTGCCCCAGTCAGTGTTCCCAGGATGTGGAAGGAACGCTGACTACTTTGTTTATCTGCTCGCACATGGACCTGGCTGGATTAGACTGTAACCACTGCAGCCTATGACTTTGGAATGGAACCATTGCCTTGCTTAGACACAGGAGACTGAGAGAAAAAGGCTCTATTTCTGCTTGTCACCAAGTCAGCATCACCTGGGGGCTCACAGAGCTTTACCAACCCACTGTCTCAACTAATCCTCCCAACAGTCCAGGGAGGGAGGTCTGAATATTTTCCCTATTTTGCTGGTGAGGAAATTGGAAAACTGACTATCTACTCGGGCTCCACACAGCCCATCAAGTGGCAGAGCCCAGGTGAGAGGGTGAGAGCTCTCTTCTTCCATTACCTGCTGCTCTAGAAACACAGTGCTATAAAAACCTCCAAGTTGTCACCTTTCTTCTTGAAATGCCCTGACTGAAGTGCCTCCTCTAGTTTCTGTTCTCCTTCTCCAGAGCATACCCTCTTGCCGCACTATCTCTGTAGGCTTGGCCTTGACCCCAGCGAAATGCACCTCAGAACCCGATGAGGTCTGGACAGCCTGAGGGGAGCATGGCCTCCTGTGTGGCATGAAGTGAAATGAGGACCTGTGTCCCCACCTACCTCCCACACTCTGCCAGAGTACCAGATGTCCCTTTGGCATTTGTAGAGGGAAAACCATTCAGGGATCTGTTTTTCAAAATTCAGATCCCTGGAAGAGGGGAAAGTGCCTCACGTTAGCTAACTCACTGAATAGGGCCTGTTCAGAGATGGTGTGAGAGGAAGAGAAACTAAGAACGACTTAATGGACCTGTGACCTGGGCAGTCAAACAGGCTCTAAGCTCAAGATCCCCCAACTTGGTTTAATGTTCTGCTATTGCCGTCTTGAAATTCTTAATAATATTTTAATTTTTCATATTGCACTGGGCCCCATAAATTATTTAGCTGGTCTGCAGTGGGACATGAAGATGCTGATGGGGCCACTCCTGCTGTCCTCTTAGCTGTGGGGGACGCATGTTCCCTCAGGCTTTCTCCTCTTCCCCTGCCACCCCCCTCAGCGTTCCTCAGGAGAGGCAGCCTATTTGTATGCAGGAGGCCGCTGGGGCTGCCTTTCCAGGAATTCTCCTTCTGCATCCCGTGGTTTAAGAGAACAAATGTGGACTTTCTTGCTCCCAAAACAGATCACTGAGCTGAAAGGAATCTTCCACTAGTAAATATCAGTTTAATGAATATGTTCTGAGCTCAGATAATTCAGACCATCCTGTCTCTCGCTGAGTTATTCATTCACTTAACAAATATTTATTGATCTTTTGCTTTTATCTTTATGCAAAACCACATGTCCAAACTGTGAAGGAGAAAACTTGATAAAGAGTCATGCTTACAGTGATAGGTGAGGAAGATAAACTTATGCTGCATTAATTTTCTTCAACATTGTATTATGAAAGTTATTGATGAAATAGAAAAGTTAGAAGCATTATACAGTGAACACGCATATACCCACTGCCCAGGTTATAAATTAACATTTTGCACTTTTTTCTTAACATATATCTGTTTATCTATCCATTATCAATTCTTCTAACCAGTCATCCATCCAGCTTATTTTTTTATTCATTTCAAAGTAAGTTGCACACATCAGATTTCACCCCAAAGCAAACACTGAATATGTGACACTAATTTTTAGTTCAGTGATCTCAATTCAACCATAACACCTTTTCTTTTTAATCAAAAAGGAAAAATATATAGATTTTGGTATAAAAACAAATCCTTCTCTGTCGAATATAATTGTTGCATGATAAATAGTATATGCATGATGGAAAAAAAAATTAGAGTTCCCCCTCTGTGTGCAATGAGCCAAAGAGAGAAATAAGAGAGAAATGGCAGTGTTTTAGGGAACTGCTTCCTGCTTCCTTCCAGTCAAAACAATAGAAAATAAATTCCCTGAGATGACACTACCTTGCCTCTTTCCTCCTTCCTGAGGTGGCTGTGGACAATTCCAGGGGGTTTTGGCTTGGTGGGGGCTGAAGGTGAGGCTGTAAGGTATTGATTGGGGTATTGCATGTAGGAGTGGAGAAAGATACAGGTTGAAGCTGTAGATTGGGGGTGGTCCTCACAGAGGTGATGGCTGGGGTGGACGGGGGTGAGTGGATAAGGCCTCTGAGACTGACAGCAAAGAATGACAGGAGCAGAGGGCAAGACTGGGTCACAGGAGGAGAAGGTGATGCTGTTGAAGACGTCAGGGGAAGCACATTCAGAAGTCGAAGCATTGCTCCGACTGGCCTCAGAGCTGGAGGAGAACATGGAAAAATACCTAAAGCAAGATCTAAAAAGGAGATGCCTTTAGAGATCACCTAGCCCACCTTTCACATTTGATCCATGAGAAAACACGGGCTGAGAGACCACTCAGAAAATTAGTGGCAGAGCTAGGGCAAAGTCACTGTCACCCAAATGGTGCTTTCCCAACAAAGTAACCTAACAGGTTCCTTCCACAAGGACCAAATGCCTTGGGGTCTTGATTTTTATCTTTACGAAAACATATGGATTTGGCCTTAGGAATACTCGGGAATTTATCTGACCTTGCCTTCTGCTAAATTATTGAGAGAGATTTATACTCTCTGTTAGTGTTTCTCAGGTTTCTTTAACTCATACCTGTTTTTGATGAATATAAAAATCTAACAACCCCTTCTGGAAATTTTAATTCCTGCTTCTCCTCACCTCAACTGAGTGGAGGATCATCATTAACAGGATAGAACCTGTTTTCAGTGTAGCCTCACTAGCAAAGAAGGTTTTGTTACATATGACTGCATAGTTTATGTGATAAAAAAATTTTTTTCAAATATGGAAGTAAAATAATAAATAATAAATGTGCTTTCTCTAATAACACAACTCACTTCTCATTTGAGAACCATTTATCTGAGGAGATGGGCTCGATTCACTTCATGCATTTTGTACCCTTGTAATCTCTCCCCTATCAGTTATGGGTGCTTTTAGCTACAAGTAAAAACTCTCACAATGTGACTTAAGCAATGAATATAACTTAATTATTTCCCATAATAACTAGTCTAGAGGAAGAAGATTGCAGGTTCTGTTCAGTAACTCAGTGATAAGAGGATTCTGGGTTGGTGTCTCGGTGGCTTTCTTGGCATTTCCCCAATGGCCCCCAAATGACCTCCGTACCTCAAGTATCACTTCCTGTCAGGGAGAAAGCAGCAAGTGGGAACAACGCTTCTCCTTGTTTTGCTCATTTGTCAGAGAGGAAGCACTTTCCAGAATGCCACCTTTGCCATGAGACTTTCCCCGTCTACCTCCTTGGCCACAGCTGTATCTCAGGCCCACTCCTAGATCAGCCATTGGCAAAGAGGAACTAGAGCGCTGTATTCAGCTTAGACCAATCAGCTTCCCATAACACGCGCAACGTGGGGCTTGTGCAAACCTCACCTTGTTTTTGTCCAACTCCCTCACTAGAATGCAAGCTCCTTGAGGGCAGAGACTTTTGTTTTATGCCCTGCTGTATTTCCAACACCTGGAACAATGCCAGGAAGTCAATAAATAGTCATTAAATGAAGGAATGACTAAGGAAGAAGGGGATCTAGGCTGTGGGTAACTCTCAGTGTCTACCGCCCTTGACAGCACATAACCCCAGTTTGATCAACGTGATGGTGCTAAATGACTATGGATCACCAAGACTCTGACCTTAAACTTTGTGTCTTTCCTTCTAGGGAGTGAGCCATAGCTGGAGGCTGCTCTTGTGCCAATGACCCTTCTCAATTCCTCCAACGTCACAGGAGATAGCATGTGTGAAGGGAACAATACCACCATGGCCAGCCCCCAACTGCTGCCCCTGGTGTTGGTCCTGAGCACCATCTCCTTGGTCACAGTGGTGCTCAACCTGCTGGTCCTGTATGCTGTGCGGAGTGAGCGGAAGCTGCACACTGTGGGGAACCTCTATATCATCAGCCTCTCAGTGGCAGACCTGATTGTGGGAGCTGTTGTCATGCCCATGAACATCCTCTACCTCCGCATGTCCAAGTGGTCCCTGGGCTGGCCGCTGTGCCTCTTTTGGCTTTCCATGGACTATGTGGCCAGCACAGCATCCATTTTCAGTGTCTTCATCTTATGCATTGATCGCTACCGCTCTGTCCAGCAGCCCCTCAGATACCTGAAGTATCGCACCAAGGCCCGAGCATCAGTCACCATCTTTGGGGCCTGGTTTCTCTCGTTCCTGTGGGTTATTCCCATTGTGGGCTGGAAGTACTTCATGCCTCATACCCTAGGGCGCCGGAAGGACAAGTGTGAGACAGACTTCTACAGTGTCACCTGGTTCAAGATCATGACCGCCCTCATCAACTTCTACCTGCCCACCTTGCTCATGCTCTGGTTCTATGCCAAGATCTACAAGGCTGTACGGCAGCACTGTCAGCATCGGGAACTCATCAACGGATCCCTCCCTTCTTTCTCTGAAATTAAGCTGAAGCTAGAGAAGCCCAAGAAACCAGGGAAGGGGTCTCCATGGGAGTTTCTGAAAAGGAAACCAAAAGATACTGGTGGTGGACCTGTCCTGAAACTACCACCCCAAGACCCAAAGGAGATGAAGTCCCCAAGTGTCTGCAGCCAAGAGGAGGGTGAAGAAGTGGACAAACCCCACTGCTTCCCACTTAACATTGTGCAAACAAAGACAGAGGCAGAGGAGAGTGGCAGAGGCTACATCACCATCAACCAGAGCCAGAGCCAGAGCCAGCTCGAGATCGAGGAGCAGGACCTGAACATGCATGGGGCCAGCGAGATGTCAGAGGATCAGATCCTAGGTGATAGCCAGTCCTTCTCCCCGACAGACTCAGACACCCCCACAGAGCCAGCATCGGGGAAAGGCAAACCAAGAAGTGAGTCTAGCACAGGCCTGGATTACATCAAGTTCACTTGGAAGAGGCTCCGTTCACATTCCAGACAGTATGTGTCTGGGTTGCACATGAACCGAGAACGGAAGGCCGCCAAGCAATTGGGTTTTATCATGGCAGCCTTCATCCTTTGCTGGTTTCCATACTTCGTCTTCTTCCTGGTCGTTGCTTTCTGCAAGAGCTGTTGCAATGAACATGTACACATGTTCACCATCTGGCTGGGCTACATCAACTCCACGCTGAACCCCCTCATCTACCCTTTGTGCAATGAGAACTTCAAGAAGACATTCAAGAAAATTCTGCACATTCGCACCTAAGGGAGGCTAGAGGGGATGCAACGAAGGGATGCTTAGGATGTTGCTGAAGGAAATGGAAGGTGAAGGCCTGTGAGTTGCCAGGTACCTGGGCTTTCTGGAGTCAGAAGAATAGTTTTAGAGGCTGGGGCACCACTGGAAGAACAGCTGATGGCAGTGGTCTGCAGAGATTGTACTCTTGAGTCGAAAGCTGGCTATTTCCAAGAGAATTGTAACTGGATGAGCGCTCCTGCAACTCAGGAAATGTGGGAACCTCAGGCTCCCATTGTAATTCGAGCTTCCAGACTAAATTAATTGGCAGTTGAGGGGACGCATGGGTAGAGTTCCACTGGAGAATTAGACAGAACTCTTGAGCCTTTCTGGAGTAAAGCTCTATTACTGTGCAGAGACCTGACACATGCAGACAGATGCCATCTCCTTCCAGGGGTCACCTTGAGAGGCATAACAGCTATTTCACTGTGACTGCCTCTTCTCAGAACACCTCTCTTCTGATCCTCTTTTACAGCTTTCTCCAGAACCAATATCTGAACCACCCTAGAAATTCTGCCTTATTATTTCCCACTCACGCATGTCTCAGAGTTGATAGGAAATTATGCAGCTTGCACACCCATTGTTTTTAACCCCAAATTCCTTTTAGCTATTAACAAGTGATGATAAAAGCTGCCCTCAAAAGAAATAGAAAAAGAATTTTTTTAATTGTTGTCCATTAAAAAGAAAACGAGGAGAAGAAAGCCATGTTTCTTGAGGGTTGTGCCAGGATTATCTTATTTGAGCCCCACAACACCCCACAAGAGGAGGATGGTGTTGCTAAAGAAGCAAATTGGGTACAGCAAGATGAAATAAGGTGTCTAAGATCACATAGCTGTTTATGTGAGAGAGCTAGAATGAAAACCCTGTGGGGTTCCAGCTCATTATATCTCATTTTCTCCAAAAGGCAAAAATTTGTCCTGTTAAGTACACACACACACACACACACACAGAGAGAGAGAGAGAGAGAGAGAGAGAGAGAGAGAGAGAGAGAGAGAGAGAGAGTTCCTGAGAGTGGTAGCAATTCTCAAAAGAATATGTTGAGAGGAGAAACAGCTGACAGAATATGTCTGCAGCCATGGAAGGTGACACTTTGAAGGNACACACACACACACACACACACACACACACACACACACACAGAGAGAGAGAGAGAGAGAGAGAGAGGGAGAGAATTCCTGAGAGTGGTAGCAATTCTCAAAAGAATATGTTGAGAGGAGAAACAGCTGACAGAATATGTCTGCAGCCATGGAAGGTGACACTTTGAAGGGACAGTATGCTATTTTTCTGTGAATTGTGCTGTTTGTCTAAAAGTGGTCATGTTCTTTTATAGTCATACCTCTTAAGTGAAAACTAGCAAAGGCATGGGAACGTACAGTGTTACTTGGTATTTATGTTGCCCTCTGATTGTGATTTCTTTTTAAAAACTTGATGGTAAACTGTAATATATGTAGCAAATAGAGTGCCTGTACAAGCCTGGTATTTTGTGTCTTGTGTTCTGTTTGCATGATCTGTTAAAATGAGAGATTTTTTTTTACCTAAAATATGATATTTGAAACTATACTGTTACGAGTTTGATTTATTTGATTCTCTGTTCTGAGTCTTTTGGACTGAGAAAATGTATTGAAATGTACTGTCAAATGTTACAAGATGTTGTATAGGGTTTCTCTTTGGTTTCTGATTGCATTTGTAAATATCTTTAGAAAAGGACTGACTTTTTATAACTAGCTTCACTCTCACTCTGCTTTGCATCCCCCAAAGCTCTTCTTGCTGAAAACTGTGGGAGATAAGCAGACTTTTTCCTGGTTTTAGAAGCTGTGGCTGATCTGTCTTTAGGTCAGAAGGCCTGTGAAAGCTTTGCTCCCTGCGATCCCTCAGGACCAAGGAACACCCAAAAAGACCACTCCAGCAGACAAACGGCTAAGTGCCCATTATTTATGTTGATGAACAGTTGAGGCACATAGTGAAGGGAAGTGGTTATGAGCTGTGACTTCGGGTCAAAGAGACCTGGATTTGAGTCGGACAAGAACAAGAAACGATCAACATAAATTGTCAAAGCATAAAGAACAAAGTCCATGTATTACTGCATGCAGTATTTATGGTGCTCGCAGCATGTCTAGCACACAGTAGGACTCGTGTAGTTTTCAAACATACTGAGCATATACCACATACCAAGCTTTGTGCTTTACTGCCATTATTATCTCTTATAACCTTTACAGCAATCTCATAAGGATGATTTACGTGTTTTCACAATTAGGCCAGCTGACGCACAGAGAGGGTAAGGCCCAGATCTAAGATCTGATTCTGGAATGTGCTTCCTTTCCACGGTATCAACCCTCTCTTCCTACTCCTGTCTGAATGATTGAATTCATTTTTGAATTTGTGAAAGGCAATGGAATATGGTGCAGAGATAACTCGGCCCCAGCCCATTTAGCAAAGAATCAGTGGCTGATGGTTTGCACAAAGTCCAGATGAAGCCAGTCTTTCTGCCCTAAATATTAAAATACATACCTTCTAGGAGAAGGCCGTCAGAGAGACTTTGATTGTAGATGAGAACTTGCAACTCAGAAGCTTTTATGGGCTTAAAGCTGATCAGCTTAAACCCAATTCCTTGAATGACCAATTTGCCACATTTACTAAATGTTGGCTTCATTTCAACTATTTACAAAGTTTACAACAATGCATATTGGATGAGGCTTTTAAGAACACTTTTCTACAATTGTTGTGAAGTTATAGTAACCGATTCTCATTTTCCCTCATAGTTACATATTGAAGGAGGCTCAGCATGCTTTGTCCCCAGCTTGCTGCTACTGCAGGGAGGGGAGAAATAAAGGTAAGGAAACTGAGGGTGAGAGAAGGGAAAAATGGGTAGAAATAACAGAAAACTAGGGGAGGCGGGGAGACAGAGGGTCAGAGAGAACAGACCAAGGTGAAGAGATGGGGAACACCTTGGACAGAAGAGGAAGAGGGGTAGATGGATGTGCAGAGGGACAGAAATGGGGACAGATTAAGGAGCAGATGGAAGACATTAAGAGGCAGACAGATGGAGGTGTTTGGGGAGAGACAAAGGGAGAAACTGAGGAATGGGAAGGGAGACAGAAAAGGAAAAGTGGAGTGGCATAATATTAAACACTCGAGAAAAATCTACACTCAACAACATATTCTTAATTTATTCATAAGTTAAATTTATTCAAATGAAGAATAAACCATCCTTAGCTTTTGATAAATAGAAAATCCCTTCACATGCTTCTCTGAAGACAACATGAAAACCAGTCAACGACTACATTACATGAATCTTTAAAAGCTTGTGAAGTCATTTCATCCAATAGAAATTGTGATAAATCTTAGAGGTTGGTAATGATAACCAAGTATTCATTCAGAAAATCCACGAGTTTACAGGTTGTCTATTTGATATATTGGTCATTTGGCTACTTGGTTTACAGAAAATTGCTCGTTACTCTTTTGAAGATGGGCCTTCCAGGAGGCAGATTTAAGTCTTAACACAGGGCAAAAAGATCCAGGAGCTCTCCTGGCTGCAGCGCACTCTAAGTGCTATAAAGAAACAATGATGTTAAGATCTAACATGCCATCATGTCATTTCACAATTTCTTGGAGATTCAAAGCCTAGGCTGTGTTACATATGTTTCCCATTGTGGGGAGTGTACACTCCGCTCAACTGAGCTACAAGACAAGGGATGAAGGTAATAGACCTGAATGACTGTGTCTTGAATAAGTGTCATGGTCTTGTTGCCCTGCTGTGTCTGAGAACATTCTCTTCCTTTTTATGGCTCCTGGTCTGGCATTGTTCTTGATGTTCCACCATCTTGTTGCCCCAAAGGTCTGTCTCCCTCATCCTAGGCAGCAGGGCGGGTCTTCTGCTCTGAGCCTCACCCTAATTCTCTGATAACAAGGAGGCCACATTTGTGACCTGAATTACCATCTATTTGGGATGTCCAGACCTCATCTGTCTATTTAACAAAAAGGTTATGAACACTTCTTAGGCCAGTCCTTGAGCCAGGCATTAGGAGATAATGGAGAACAAGGTAGACATGCTTTCCACTCTACAGAGCTACTTCAGGGTTGCAAATGACAGAAACCAGTTTTGGGAATGGCTACTTGGGTGTTTTGTGGAATCCAGTTACATTTTGGATGACCTCACCTCAGGAAGGGCTTGAGCCAAGTTGGCCACAAGAACTTCAACAGTCAGAATTTGAGGAAGTTCCCTCTGGGACCATTGACCTATGTAACTTATTCCTACTCTCTACGAGCATCGGTTCAAAAGTCCAAAGCTCAGAGTAAAGAATTGTCCTGTGTCCACCTCATCTGCAATCAACTCTGAAAGGAGGTGGGAGGGGCAGGTGGTACATGTGGTACAAACATGGCCAGAGGTCCAGCAGTTCCCAGAGAAGCAGGAAATATTGTGAGCTGGGCAGAGACTCCAAAAGGTGTTAATTACAAGGACCTTGAAGTCCAGCAGGAGAAACAAGCTTATAAAGAACTAACTTCAACTTAGTCTCATATATGCTAAATAGAGTGAAGCCTAGAGGTGGTGGGTGTCAGGTATGTCTTCACATAGGAGGTGACATCCCATCCTGTTTTTTTAATCACATGTATTATATTCAATATATACAGAAAAATGCACCCATTTTAAATGTAGAATTCAATGAGTTTTGACAAATGTGTACACCCATGTTGTCCCCGTCTCAATCAAGATAAACAGAACATTTCCATCACCTCAGAAAGCTCCTCGTGCCTCTCTGCAATGCCTCCCTTTATGCCCCAGACAACCACTGATCTAGCTGGCTTCTATCACTATAGATTAGTTTTGCTGATTCTAGAACTTTCCATAAGTGGAATCATATAATATGTACTCTTTCCATCAACATTTTGTCTAAGATTCACCCACATTCCAACTGGATTTTGAAGACGGAGAAAGGGTTAGACAAGCAGAGGAAGTGCTAGGGTATTACAGATGGAGAGATAAATAAGCAGTGTGCTTAACACCAGAAGTAGTTTAGTGTGGCCCAAGCATGCAGTCTGAGGGTGCAGGGGCAGAGGAGGAGCCTGAAATAGTGGAAAGAGTTGACATTGTTGAATTATACTTGAGCCCTGTGCTCTTGAAAAACAGCAATGATTGAGAAATCCATCCCAATGCCAACACACACACTCTTGTTCTTCAGAAATGGTTTACTGTGGGCCGGCCGAGTGGCGCGTTGGTTAAGAGTTGGCTTGGGACACCAGCTCTGAGCAGCAGGGCTTCGGTTGGGATCCCACATGAGGGCCAGTGACGTTGCGCCCTCTACAGCTAAGATGGTGAACAATGGCTCAGCCTGAAGCTGAGCTGCTGTGAGTCGTGGTGACGGCATGGGCTGCAGTGGAGCTGCAGTGGGCTGCTGTAAAAAGCTACTGTGAGTGGCTGGCAGCCGGCGTGAGCTGCCAAGAGCCGCTGTCCAGACGGCCAGCGACCGATCTGCCTCACCCGGGAAGAGCGCAATGATCACAATACCAACATGGGCCAGTGAAGCCACGTCCTCCACAACTAGACTGAAGAACAAAAAGGACAGCAACTTGTCTGTTCCCCTTTCCTGATTCCCCAATGCTGTTCCCCTCCCCTAATTCGCCAATAAAATCTTTAAAGAAAAAAGAAAAAGAAATGGTTTACTGCAAAGAAACATGAATTCTCATACAACTTATTGTAGATAAGACTCATGTATTTACCTGTGGCAAGGCAAATTCCTATTCTTTGAAAGTCCTGAATTCCTATTCTTTGCCTTATAAATGATTTGCTAAACTACTTGTCTCCACTGATCAAACAAAATACTGTTAACCTTCATTAGTTAAGATTCTCTCATTCCTCAGGCTCCTTAATTTTGGCCCATATTCTGGCTGAGCCAGCATACAACCCCTCCTCAGAACAGGGTGGCCTCAAAGTAAAACATTCTTTGTTTTTTACTGTCTGGTCAAACTACCCCACCCCACCCCCTACTTTATCACACCCAGTTCCTTCTAGTCTTCTTTACTCTCCCCTGAGGAAGACAGAAGCTCTTTTTGCGTAAGCCTTGAGACATATGCAGATTTTTTGGTCAGAATGGTCTCCCTATTGCAATACCCTCCTCCCCAATTGCAACAGTCTCTCTCCTCTCCTCTACCCTTATTAAGAATCCTTTCAAATTCAGTATCTCCTTACTAAGTCAAAGAGTCTTCTATCAGAATCCTGGCCCAAAATTTCTTTATCTTTCAGCAAGCTCCTTCAATTTTCCTAGCCTCCGTTCTTTCATATGTAACATGGGGATAATATAACACCTACTTTGCAGGACCTTTGTGGCAATTAGAGATGTGAAACCCTGAAAACATGGTAGATAATAAATAGTAGTCATTACTCTTTTTATTATGAGTCTATAGAGTTACATCAGGGTTACTTTGTGAATGGCCTTATATATTAGATTAAGTTTATGCTCACTTAATATTGTGTCAACACCTGTCCAATGCTTGGCACACAGTATATGCTCAATAAATAATTTAGATGAATAACTTTATCCCATTGACAGCGGGGACCTATGAGAATAATGCCCGGTTTAGAAAGAGCAGGCTGGTCATTGTCGACTTTCATCAACCTTTATCTATCAAAACTCTCATCTGTCTCTCCACACCTGCCTCCCTAATGGTCTCTCGGATATATTCTATGTTGCCTCTCATGGGAAATGGAAATAATTCCTGTCATCCTCTGAAATCAAAGGAGAGAATGTGAAGCACTTTTTAAAAAGCCTGACGGGCATATACACATTCCCACAACTAATAAGAGAAAATCTCCCTAGACCAGGTCTCACCAGGGGGCCTCGCCTAGTTCCTGAGGCCCCGCCTTCCCCAAGACTCCAATTCCTCCCACTCAGACCGGTGCTAGGGGCTCATTTACCAGGCTAGCCCGCAGCTCCGCGTGCTCATGCGCACCACTAACCCCAAGCAGGCGGGGGCGGGGGCTCGTTGCGTCATCGAGGCGCGCTCTGCGGAGGACGCCGTGGTTGCCGGAAGTTGAGCGGCGGTAAGTCAGCCGCCCTGGCGAGGGAGTAGTGGGGTCCTACGGGTTTGGTTTTGGAGGTCTGGCGGGGAGGAGCGAGCTCGGCGGTGAGGGCGAGGGTCACGGAGGGTCTCAGGATCCTCTGTTCCCCATGGAGTCACTGACTCCGGCTCGCGTCCTCCTTCTCCAACCGCGTCTCCAGACTGGTTCAGCCCCGGGTTTTCTGACTAGAAGCGCCTTCTCATTTCTTCAGTCAGTCCATCCTGTCCTCTGGCAGGGAGTGCTCGGATCGCTGGTGTTGGAACACCGGAGAGAGAACGTCAAGGTGCTCATCCTGGCTTTGCCTGGCTGTGCTGTGTGACTCTGGCACGTCACTCCCCTTTCTGAGCCTCTTTCCACATCTGTAAAATGGGAATGATGATAACGTCATGTGTGAAGCGAGGACGTTAAATTAGGCCAATTCTAAGGGCTTTTCTGAGTTAAGGGTCTTGTTTCCTCGGTTTGGTCCAAGGGTTACAAACTTTAGTGCTTGATTAGGTATGGTAATGCTTATTTAGTTAGGTAAGGTAAATGTAGGTGTAAGAACATTTCTATTTCAGAAGTAGAGTCACTTTTATTTTTCCTGAATTGAGTTTTATGAGCGCAATACTAACATGATATAGGAGAAATGAAACCAAAATTCCAGTTGGTTGTGCGTGCAATATCTTGATTTTTAAACCCTGGCAACTAAGTTTTTTAATTGGCTTTAAAAATTAGTTTAATTTTTAAACTAATAGTTTTTTAAGTTAAAAAAAATTTTTTTAACTCTGTGCAGCTGAAATCAGGCATACCTGTGGTTGCAAGTTTGGGTCCCCTAGATCTCACGTTCCCTTTCCCATTGAATACTTGGATTTCTTCAGTGACACCCCTGCCCACTGGTTGTTTCTTAAGCGACAGACTGTTCACGACTTCTGGTTACTCCTGTTTGGTCTTCTCCTAACTCTGACTCTTAAAAAGTCATATGTTGACCTGAACGCAGTCCCAGTAATTTCACCTCATTGTCCATTCTTTAGGTTCTTAAGGATCTCTCTTCCACTTTATTGCCCACGCATCTTTGAGAGCTGCACGTTTTTTTTTGTTTGTTTTTTTTTTGGGTTTTTTTTAAAGATTTTTATTGGGGAATTGGGGGGATTGGAACAGTGCTGGGGAATTGGGGGAAGGGGAACAGACAAGTTGCTGTCGTTTTGTTCTTCGGTCTAGTTGTGGAAGGCGTCGTTTCACTGGCCCAAGTTGGTACCATCATTGCACTCTTCCCAGGCAAGGCAGATCAGTCGCCGGCTTCTGGACGGCCGCTCACGCTGGCTGCTGGCCGCTCACGCTGGCTGCTGGCTACATACGGTAGCCCATGGCAACCCCCTGCCACAGGGGCTGCAGCCTATAGCCGTCGCCGGCAACTCACGGCAGCCCAGCTCCAGGTTGAGCTGTTATTCAGCATCTTGGCTGTGGAGGGCAGTGTCACTGGCCCTCATATGTGGGATCCGAACCGGGGGCCTCTGGCGTCCCAAGCCAGTTCTTAACCATCGCGCCACTCGGCCGGCCCTCCACCTTTTCTTCAGGCTAAGCACATTGAATTTATTTACCCGTAGTAAACGCAACAATAGAGAATTTTATGTGCCAGGCATTATTGTAAGCTCTCGTGATGTAGTGGTAAAATAAGACAAAAAAACCCCCAAAATACGTTGTTTAATGGAGCCTACTTTTGGATCATGGTGGCAGCAGTTGCGTTTGTCAATAATACAGTACTTTGAATGGGTGGTAGGTGTTTCAGATCCTGATAGATGCTACAAAAAAAAAAAAGAAACAGTAATGGGATAGGGAATAATGGGGGGAAGCAGAGGGAGCTATTTTCAAAGCTAGCTGCTAAAGGGTGACTTCACTGAGAAGGTGACATTTTAGCTAATGCCTGAAACCTGATTAAAGAAGAAGCCACATTTGTGAAGGCTCGTCTTGCCTACTTGTGTCTACATCCCCCAATTCTGTGCTCTAGTCTTGTTAAATGGCTATGGGTTGTGTCTCACCTGTACCCCTTTGCTTGTGCTGCCTTGAACATCTCTTCTACCTTGAACATCTCTTCTACCTCCTTCATTTTTCTTGACCAACTCCTCCCTGCCCCTCAGGTGACATGATTTTTAAACCCTTTAAGAAGTTGAGTACAGGGCTCTCGTTCAACCACAGAGTCCCTTTTCTGCTCCCAGACAGCCTCTCATAATAGAGAATAAGCATAAACATTTATTGAGTGTCTGTGTGCCTGGCACTGCTCTGCAAGCTGGAAATACCAAAATAAGTGAGATACATGTCCCTGTCCTCAAGGAAGTAATTTTTTTTAAGTCACAGAGATAGACAACAGCACTATGGTATGAAGCTATTGTAGACGTTTGCTCGAGGAGGACTTAGGGTGCTCATAAGTCAGGCTGAGGCATCAGAGAAGGCTTCTGTGAGGAGGTGTTCTTTATCCACGTCCTAAAGGATGAGCAGGATTAGTCAGGGAAGAGGGGTGGGAGGTGGGGTGATGTTGCAGACAGTGGGAGTGGCATGAGCCAAGGGCTGTGGACAACGATGCATGACCTACAAGTAGTTCACCCAAGTTAGAGTGTGGAGTTGTAGGGGAAGAGGTGACTGGAAAGGTAAGCAGGAGGCAGATCATGAAGGCCCACAATTGTGGACAATAGCATGTTAAGAACACAGACTTTGGAATCTAAAATGCTTGTGGACCGATAGTGGCTTTGCCACTGAAGTAGTTTTGTAACTACTTGGGTAGGTCACTCTCTTTCCAAGTTTCAGTTTCTTTGTCTATAAGAAAGGAAGATATAAGCCTGCCTCCCAGGGTTGCTGTGAGGATTGAATGAGATGATATGTTACCCAGTGGGCACTGGTAGATGGTAAACAATAAATTACAGCAGTTAATATTGCCATGCTAAGAAATTTGGACTTTATTTTGGAAGGGTGGTGGTGGAGAGTGGGGCAACAAAGGATTTTAAGCAGGATGTGACATGTTCTCACCTGTTTTAAATTACCTAGGCAGCATTGTGGTGGTTATACTGGACAGGGCAGGACCAGCAGGGAGACCAGTCAGGGCACTGCTGCCACGGTCTAGGTCAGCGGTTCTCAACCTGTGGGTCGCAACCCCTTTGGGGGTCGAATGACCCTTTCACAGGGGTCGCCTAAGACCATCAGAAAACAAAAAGATATTTACGATTCATAACAGTAGCAAAATTACAGTTATAGAGTAGCAATGAAAATAATTTTATGGTTGGGGGTCACCACATCATGAGAAACTGTATTAAGGGGTCACGGCATTAGGAAGGTTGAGAACCGCTGGTCTAGGTGATAGAGGAGGGAGGCCTGAACCAAGGCAGTGGCTGAGGGGAGAGAATGGTGGTGGCTGGATTTGCGCAATAAAGGAAGTGGGGTTTGCTGACTGGTAACTTACACAGGGAGAGGAGAGAGACAGGAATCATGATATGGGGGGTGGGGTGGGGAAATGAATCCTCGGTGGAAATAATGAGAAAGTTCTTTGATTAGTGGTCCCTGATTGGTTATCCCTGACCTTCGCTGAGATTTTATTTGGAAGTCCAAACGGGCTCTGTCCTTCAGTTCCATTTACATGAAATGAAGTGCATGAATGCCTTCCTTCTTTCGTCTGCCTCCCAATCCTCCCGCCTTTCTCCAGTGTAAGTGAGGCCAGATTGTGTATTCAAAGGAGAATACATAGGCGCCGCTTTGTGACCAGGTAGACAATATGCATCTCCATGGTCTTGGCAGACTGGGTACCAACCTATTCACTCGGTGTCAGTCCAGCCCCAGAATAATCACCTTTGGGTGATTTACCTTCCTTTGACCTTGTTCCTATTTGACAGTCTCTGAGTGTGCGGTGTAGAAAGAAGCACTCTTTCCTCCAGAGGAGTCTGACCATGCAGAGCAGGACTGTTCTTTTCTTGAGGTAACCTAAAGCCCCACCTTGCTTCGTTACAAACACGTGCTCTTGACACTTGCACAATCGGCTCTCAGCACCACTCGGCGCTTCTTATGTGTACATGGGCAGCTCTTTTGCCCATCTTCTTGTCTTTCACATATTCATCCCTCTCCTGGCTTCCTAACCTTGCCTTTGACTCTTCCCAGTCATCAGACCTTGACGTTGCCAGAGCTCTTGAATACTTTTCCTTCCTTATCTTTTGAATTCTCTGCATAGCTGATAATGCTGATACTCCTGCACATAAGAAAACATTCCTGCTTTGTACTATTTGGCCATTTCCCCCTTGGTTTCTATTGTGGGCTCTTTTCCTCCTTTTGTCTCTTAAATGCTAGTTTTCTCCAAGACTCTGCTTTCTGCTCGGCTCTTCTCACCCACAGTTTCAACTCCCATTTATGTGCCAGTGACCACTGATTTGTATCTTGAACCTGGATTTCTCCTGAGGGCCAGCCCTCCAACTCAGCAAGTTCAAAACTAAGCTCAGCATCTTCCCTCCAAACCTGTGATTCTTTCTCCATTCTGTAGTCGCACTCATTTCTCCTTCTTCCATTTGGTCATTCAAAACAGAACCCTGAGAGCCATCCTGGACTTTTCCCTCTCATACCATCTCTCCCTCTCTTCCTCCCAGCCCAAGCAGTCATCAGAGCTCTACAGATTCTACTTCCTTCATATCTCCTGACACGTCTTCTCCATTTTCTCTCCCACTGCCTTACTTCACACTCTTCTCACTTCCAGTCTATATTCCTGCAGTGCCTCCAAGCTGGTTGCCCTGCCTCAGCAGTCTGGCTCTTACTGGTGCTGGAGTGCCCTTTCTATAATACAGATCTTTGCTAAAATACAAATTCCTGCTTCAGTCTATTTTAGATGCCTCTCCATCCTCCTCCCATAACACCCTGTACAAATACCCCACTGTACTGTACTGGTGTTACCCACAAAGTGTTATACTGTCACTCCTAACCTGTAACCCTCAAAACTGTTAGATCTTTAAAGGCAGGGACCATAGTTTTTGCCATTG